TCTCCAGGAGCAGGGCTGGAGATCCTTGGCGTAAACCATTCGACTGTGAGAGTGAACTGACGCATTCAACGAACTGCCTGTCTCAAAACCCACACTTGTGGTCTTTGCTCTTGAGCACTTGACTGCTTACTTGACATATTTCCTGTAGATAGCTCAAGTGTTCAAGTGGATGTGAAGACCGCAAGCCGTGTATGTGTAGAACATCTATCTAATGGGACACACTTACAATATAGTGTTGTAAAAATGTAAGTAAACAGAGCTTTATTTACACATTTTATAATTTGCACTTTCCAAAAACTTCTAAATGTCTATTCAGTAGTCCCTATAACAGACAACACAATTTAGTTATTGTGATGCTTCTAATTAACTGATAAAAAGCAGTTGTAAATGGTGTTCAAAATAAACATACTCACCTTTGCACCAATAAAACACTACAAAACTAGAACACTTTGCATTTTGCTACCAAATTATATGGAATATCGAATTTACATACAATGGAATGTTTCCTTGACACCTTGCGATTTCAGGGCATGTGAGTGCCTGAACATGATGCATGATAGCATACGCTTAGCCTCGGATACTGGTCCGAAGTGTGGATCCAGTGTGTGTTAAGGGTCCTGAGTTGTGGCATTTTGGCATTTTTTAAACCTGGGACAGTTTTGTGCACGCACTTCCTGTTGAGGACGCTCTTAAATGCCCGAGACCACAAGAGTTGGTATTTGGACAGGCCCCCTGTGTGTTGATGTCAGAATTTGCATTACACGGGCTAAGGTGGAGCGGAACACGGACACAGGAAGTATACTTTGGCTGCATATTAATGGATCAGTTCACTTCCAGAATAAAAATTTCCTGGTAATTTACTCACCCCGATGTCATCCAAGATGTCAATGTCTTTCTTTCTTCAGTCAAAAAGAAATTAAGGAAAACATTCCAGGATTTTTCTCAATATAGTGGACTTCAGCAGGGACCAATGGGTTGAAGGTCCAAATTACAGTTTCAATGTAGCTTCAAAGGGCTCTACACGATCCCAGCTGAGGAATAAGGGTCTTATGTTGCGAAACGATTGATCATTTTCTAAGAAAAATAAAAAATTTATATACTTTTTAACCACAAATGCTCGCCTTGCACTAGCTCTGCGATGCACGTTCACAAGTTCACGCATTACATAGTCACATTAGAAAGGTCACATGTGACGTAGGTGGAAGTACCGACCCAGTGTTTACAAAGCAAGCGTGCAAAGACTAAATTCAAACGCCCTTTACAAAAAAACAAACAAAAAAGTTTCACTAGATAAGACTCTTATTCCTCAGCTGGGATCGTGTAGAGCCCTTTGAAGCTGCATTGAAACTGCAATTTGGACCTTCAATCCGTTCGTCCCTACTGAAGTCCACTATATGGAGAAAAATCCTGGAATGTTTTCCTCAAAAATCTCAAAATTTATTTTCGAGTAAAGAAAGAAAGACATGAACATCTTGGATGACATGGGGGTGAGTAAATTATCAGTAAAGTTTTATTCTGGAAGTGAATTAATCCGTTAAGGAAGCTCAAAGGTTCTTCAAAGAATACTGTGATATTACCATGACATTTGTACAAAAATATACAAACCGTGTATAAAACAAGTAATATGAGTTTCACATGATAGCTATTGCTGTACTGTGTATTTTAATATGACTGAAATGCTTTATTGAGCATTAAATATCAAGGCCCGAAACTACCAGGTAAACAGCACAAGGTGCGATTCCACTCTTAGTATAAGACGATTTTTTAAAATTAATCTGATATGAGGTGACATTAATAGTTATAAAGTTTTACATAAACACTCTGAACTAAAGGTTGAACATGGATTCATCTACTTCGTTTTTTGAGTGATTGTCCGCAGGGTTGTCACAATGCCAAGGCCTGCAGGAAATCTGCAAATGCAAGGTACAACACAGCTGAGGATTCAGATGTTTGGTACTCCATCATACCGAGCTCAAAACAGCTCAGCTTGAGACATAAAAACATGTCCCGAGAGCTCGTCCCCCGTGGACACGTCTAACCTCACCTGGAATTCTGTTCCAAAGAGCACAGCGTTCCGTAAGCAGGACCGTTTCCACTAGAAGGACACTGCCATGCTTTAACTAACTCGACATCTCCGGATCAAGTAACTCTGCAACCTTGCTTTGGGATCTGCTAAGACAAGCCCAGCTTTATCCATCGTTAACAACAAATAACTTGGTCTTTGATGGTTTCCTTTGGACTTCCTCATTCCCAAGGGGCCGATTGGACGACATAATCTGTAGGGCACACTTACGTCTGCCAAGAGCTGGTTGCAAAGGAGGTGTTGTTTTAGGCGACAGAAACAGAGGGACTTATGGTCCAAATATGGTCCACTTTCAGGCCAAGGGTGGGGGGAACAGGAAAAATCCCCCTGAAGCACAGGATGCACATGGACAGACCATGACAGCTAGAATAAAGCAGGATATGGAGAGAGAACGAAAGGAAGAGAGGACTGTGGGATGCAGCTGAAGTTAGATTAAATAATTCCTGTTTTGCAGGGCTGTTTTTGTGTCCCGTTGTTGTAGTGCACCATCCAGGAAGCTGGAGAAACAGTGCTGTCGTCAGAGCCAAATACAACACATTAGTCACTTTAGTTAAACTACATTTACTGGAGAAAATGCGAGTGGGCTTTACTTTGAAATGCACTGCCACGATGGGTGTAGCTGGTGGTTGTCAGTGCATTGCATTGCAGTTGCTAGGGTCTTCTGGGTGGTTGCTAATGTTGGGATGTGCTATACTGTTGGTAGGGCATTGTTAGGGTGTTCTGGATGGTTGTTATAACATTGCTATGCAGCAGGGGTGTTTCCTCTGAGGAGGCAAGGGAGGCAGTGCAAAAAAAGTAGTTCAAAAATAAAACAACGCCAACATTACAAAATATATCATTAAAAAGTGTATAAATCACTCATTTTTCTAAAGAAATATTGTCCAACAGTGACACCAGCAGGTAAAGTTTCAGCGGGAGTCAACGTCTCATTCGCCTCCCCTGAGCCCATTGAGTTTTAACAGACCCCCTTAAAGCGTGCGGTGAGTTTAGTAGGGGGTAATTGAGAATGAATGGGGGAAAGTGAGAGGAGTCAATGTTTTCATCGCGATATGACTGGTTATGTTCGGCTGTGATTGGTTAATGCGATAAATCCCAAAAACAATTTAATGGTGTTAATGGGAAGATTAATAAAAAGTAAACAACTCACACACTTAGGCTACGTTTACACTAGTGCATTTTCGTTTTAAAGTGCATAACTCTTGCTACGGTTATGCCTGTCATTTACACTATGCCGGCATTTTCGACCTTCGAAAATGGAGACGTTTTAGGTTGAAAACTCCGGGGTTGCGTTTCGGTGTAAACGGACCAAAACGGAGACTTTTGAAAATGATGGCATGGCTGGCCACATTCGCTCTGCGTATCCTTGACGACCGTGTAAACAATAACATCATGCTCATTGTTGTACCCATAGATATGTATAGGTAGATGCCCCATGTGACGCATCTGCCATCTAAATAAGTAATCTACCTATACATATCTATGGTTGTACCTGCATGATTGGTCATGTGACATGCATTTCTGGTTGTGTCGTGTGGATGGAGATCGTTTCTGAAATGCAGTGAAAACGCCAGTGTAGATGAGGGTTTTAGTGTAAACACTAAAACGCACAGGGCCTTAAATATAACCACTTTGTTACGTCAAAATAAGACTTAAATAGCATGAAAACATGATCTGTGGGAGTTTTTAGTGAGTAATTAGCTTGGTGAAATTTAAAGTAAATCTCCGCTTCCGCGACTAATATTTGCAGAGCTTTGATGACTGATGATTTGAAAAATTCAAAAATAGTTAACTATTAAAAAGTATAGCTGTTCACAAATAAAATACAAGTTATAAAATATGTCCACAAATAAAATATATTGTTTAAATTGTTACTGCCTTGAGTTATTATTTTGGAATAAATGTAAAATGCTTAAAAACACAAACTTAATGAGATTCATACGTGGCTTTAATAAATACAATATTGATTATATTGTTAATGTAAAAATATATCTAAAAATATAATTGTTTTTTTTTTCTCATAGTGTAAGTAATGTTTATGGTTTCTAGGTGTTTGCTAAGGTGTTCTGAATGGTTACTGTGCTATTGCTTAGTGGCTGATAGTGGTTGCTAGGGCATTGCTAGGTTGATGTTATAATGTGTTTATCCATTTTTGCACAATACAATACTGTTGTTAGGGCTGGTGGGTGATAATAAGTGTTTTGGCTGGTTGTACATTTTTATGCAGTTGCTAAGCAGTTGCTTATTGGCCCATGTCATGGTTCATGGTCAGTTGGACTTTTTGCATGCTTTATAACCCAACATATGAACCATGAATTTTACACAAGCACACATTTTATTCAGGAAATGATACTCTTTGTCATTATTGACCTTTGATCTTATACTCAAACAAGCTAGTTATTATTAGTACCTTCATATCTTCATTACATTCATTTACCATTTATTCAAATGCTTTTCCAAGTACTTCTGTACTTCAAACAGATATTTGAGACAAACAGATAAGGAAGGTATGTAAAATAAGAGAACAAATAAAAGAAAGCGGATTAACGAACCCAAAATAGAAGCATTACAGACGTAAGTTCACTTGAGATTTCAGCACTGGTGGGCTTCATTTGCGCAGATGTTCAGGCTGACTAGGAAAAGACATGACACACAGTAGGACTTCTCATCTTCTGCAAAATATTATATAAAAAAAAGAATGTTTTATATAACCAATATACATAAAAGGCTACAAGTAACTTGTTTTATAGATTTTTAAATGACCTTTTTTTTTGTATTTTGTAGTATGACACAACAGAACAGTTTTGTATAAAATTTATTATATTTAATGTACAAAAATATTCACAATTTGTGACTTCAAAGCACAAACCAAACCTAAAATCACAAACAATAGGTATAAACATCAATATGTTAGCTCCGTTTTTACTTTTACCTGTATTAGTTTCCTCTACCAGGTCTATTTTACACAGCACACTCATGCAAAACAGGCCAATATTAAGTTTTATGACTAAAACGTACACAAAAGCGGCGACAACAATAAAACGGCATCAAATCACATGCGTGACATTGAAAACACAATTCAGACTGACCGAAAACACCTTCATCCTTCTATGTTTTTACATCTATCTGCTTCCTCTGAGCGAGGGTGGTCGTGGTTCAAGAGAAACAAAGCGGAGCGCCAGGCGTTCGGAAGGTTGTGGGATAATGAAAGTACTTGTTGTGATTATTGCCCAAGTGTGTTGTGTTACAGAGGCACTCTGTTGCAGGGGCTGAAAGGCCCTCTGAAACCACAATCCTCAGCTTTGTTCCGCAGGCCCACGACCGTCTCCGTTGGCCTGACCGCGATAAGAAACTTGGATGCTGTTACAGGAAGTTGGATGCTCCTCTGGCGATAGGCTTCTCCTGCTGAAAGCTTCTCTTTTTTTCACTTTCTATGCGAATGGCTGCCAGGAAGGTGAAAAGAAGGTACGGAATATCATAAACACACTCGGCATGTTTAGAACTGGTTTAGTCACTCTAATTAGCGGTTAACCCGTTTATCCCTAATGAGGGTGAAGGGGAGAATTTTGTTGTTTCTAAAAAGAATAAGAGTATAATTAGTCAGTCGCTGTAAAAGTTTTTCACATTTACGGATTGTGAAGTGATCAATCATCATCATATTTCAGACAGCTTATTCAGATACCAGATACATAATACACGTCTTTTAAACTATAGCAAAGACGCAGCAGCATACCATCAGGATCACACGGTGAAGAAATATCCACATCAAAAATAAGAAATGACATTTTCCATACAGAAAATGTTGCTTTTAAGGCCATTAAGCTGTGAAATTATTTTACCAAAATTCTCATTGTTCATTTATTTAATTCACTATAAATCAAAAAGTACTACAATAATGCAGTGCCGAAACCGCCATAGACATTGATTAATTCTGAACAAATTGTCGGCCCCAATATTTGACATTCTTGCACTGCTGCACTCCATTACACAGCGCTCTACACGTTTGTTGTTTACAAGTTGACATTTTTAGGCTGATCTGTCTTGGGGGTTAAATGCTGTCCTTCTGCTAAAAAAATAGTTCCTGACAGCAACAGTAAATGGCAAGAGAATGTTCCAATGTAGCCTGCCTCATCTTATGGAGCTCAAAATGATTGAGGTGGCCAATCAAATCAAAGTAGGCATGGTTTACCGTTCACAGAAGCAGAGCGCGAATTCCATCACGAGGCGTCAGCTTAAAGTTGAAAGAGAGCGAGGTAATACGAAATTAGAGAAACATTTAATATTTGACAACTGTTTTACGATGCAAATGATGCAAACTACTTGTTTTATTTTTTTTCTCAAATTTGGACATTTTGAATTGAAAATATATTAGCATTTGCATGATTCATGTAATTCTTAACTGCGTGTGACGAGGAAAGAATTACATTTTTGACATATTAGACATGCAAATTTGAAGTAAAAGACCTCAAATTTGCTTCCCTGTTCTAAATTTATGCTTTATTAAAATAAAAATAAAGCATAAAATAACAAAATAATGTATTGTTTTAATATAGCTTTTTTAAGAATTGAGGAAAATGTTTAATATATATTTTTTTTAATTATTAAACTATTTTGAACTTTATTTTATTATCTATTTAATAGGGATGTAACGATTCACTCAACTCACGATTTGATTCGATTCACGATTATTATAATTTTTTTTAACAAAATGAGATTTAAGACAAATTATAAATTAAATGTGTCCTGTTATTATTGCTTGGACATGAATGGTTTGACTTCAGTTTTGTGAAACTATACATAAAAATATCTGCATGAAACCGAAACAGCAGACGAGCTGAATGAGACGCAGATGCACTCTCTGCCAGCAGGTGGCGCTTAAAGCGTTTCCTTGGTTTCCGCTGTAAACAAAGCAGCGCTGCACTTATGAACTTTAATATGCGTTATACAGAGGCAAGATGAAAAGAAAAAATACCATCTAAACTTTTCCATATAAACTCCTACCCCTAATTGAATCGCGATTTGTTTACTATCTCAACCGATTTAAATCGTCACATATTTGAATCGATTTTCAACCGGCTCGCGGTTAATCGTTACATCCCTACTATTTAATGATTTTTGTCATCTCCCATAGTGATGTAATGTCTTTATTTATTTCTGGGGGATTTTGTGCTTAATATTGATACACACAATTTATTGCAATTAATTATTTGTAATTTTATGTAATACATTTCGAGTTGAAACAAGCCATTCATATTTTTGACATTTGGTGAGATTCATCCCTCCAGCAATGATCTCACGTTGGATAATGACGTATTCTGAGTTCAACGGCCATGTTTTCAGTGGTCTTGACTGATTAGATTGTGGTCTGAACAGACACACTTTCTTGTTTGTAACATTACGATCAGTGAGATAGAAAAGATGGACCACTTAACAGGAAGTAAAGATAATATGGAGCCTTGACTATGTGTGCATTAGATAGGAAAATTGATTTTCCAGTAATGCGTCTGTAAAGTTCAGCAACAGGCAGGAAGTAGTAACACCAAATACAACACAGGCAAGACTAATTCCATTTGATTTGTGAGACAGAGAGGCCAGAAAGACAGACAGACCTCACAATGGACTGATAAAAAATTAATTATCGGAGACAGTGAGAAAAAAATAGTGAAAGAAGACATGCATAGAATGAAGAGAGAAACAAAGAACATATAATCAGTAAATGTGATCAAATAAATCAGTGAATAAATGTACACTCTGCTTTCATTGTCTGATCATAATATTGACTGCCATTGAATACAGTAAATGTTGACACTTGACATTGTAAATGTCAAGACGTAATTAATGTTTCTAATTAATTCAGTTTACAAAAAAAATACATAAAAATAAACCTTAGCAACCACACAGCCATGCCCCGGCAACCGCCTACAACCACTCTGAGTAACTTAGCAATGAGCCAGAACACCTTAGCAACCACCCAGAAAACCCTATCAAACACTCTGAACACCCCAACAACCAACAACATCTTAGCAACCACCCAAAACACTGTAGTAACAACCCAGGACACCCAGGTAACCATTAAGAATGCGCTATAAATTACCTACCACTTTACACCTTAGCAGCCTCCTACAACATCATATCAATCACCCAGAATGTCCTATCAATCACCTAGCAACAAACTAATCACCCTACCAACCACCCAGAACCCCCATCAATCACTCAGAGCGTCCTAGCCACCACTCAAAACACTGTAGCAACACCATAACCACTTAGAAAATCTTAGCAACATCCCAGAGCACCATATCAATCATCCAGAACACCCTAGCAACAAACTAAACACACGTCCAACCATCCAGAACAACATATCACTCAACCTGAATGCATTAGCAACAACTTAGAACACCTTAGCAACCTCCCAAAACACCTTAACCACCTAAAATATCCCAGAACACCCTAGCAACCACACCAAATCCAATAACAATCCAGAACACCTTAACAACCACCTAAAACACTGTAGCAACAACCCAGAACACCCTTTCAATCACCAGCACACCCTAACTACCTAGAAGACCCTAGCAACAACCCCAAACACTAGCAACAACCAAGAACAATCTAGCAACCACCGAAAAACTGCAGCAGAACGCCTAAAACACCATAGCAACAACCTAGCTAGAACCCAGAACACCCAAGTAACCGCACAAAACATCTTATTGATCACCCAGGACACCATATTAACCACCCAGAATGCCCTAGCAACAAACTAAACATCCTTCCAACCATCCAAAACACCCTTTCAATCACCCTGAATGCATTAGTAACAATTTAGAACACCTTAGCAACCACCCAGAACACCTTAAACACCTAAAAACGTCCCAGAACACCCTAGCAACAACCCAAAACATTGTAACAGTCCAGAACAACATAGCAACCACCCAAACACTGCAGCATAACACCTACAACACCATAGCAACAACCTAGCTAGAACCCAGAACACCCAAGTAACCGCCCAAAACATCCTATCGATCACCCAGAACACCGTATCAGCCACCCAGAATGCCCTAGCAACAAACTAAACACCTTTCCAACCATCCAGAACACCCTTTCAATCACATGAAATTGAATGAATTTTTAGCAACTTCCCAAAACACCGTAAACACCTAAAAATATTCCAGAACAACCTAGCAACCACCTAAAACACTGTAGCAACAACCCAGAACACCTAAAATAACCAACCAGAACACTCTATCAATCACCCTGAATGCATCAGCAACAACTTAGAACACCTTAGCAACCACCCAGAACATCTTAAACACCTAAAAACATTCCAGAACACCCTAGCAACTACCCGAAAACTGTAACAATCCATAACACCATAACAACAACCTAGCAAGAACCCAAAACACCCAAGTAACCGTCCAGAACACCATATCAATCACCCAGAATGCCCTAGCAACAAACTAAACACCCAACCAACCACCCAGAACACCTTAAACACCAGCAACAGCCCACATACCCTAGCAACCACCATAATGCCTTAACAAACACTTAAAAACATTCCAGAACACCTTAGCAACTACCAAAAAACTGTAACAATCACGAGCAACAACCCATATCCTAGCAACCACAATAGGAACAACTCAGAATGCCCTAGCAACCACCCAGAAGACCAATGAGAATTAGTATATACTAGATTGTCAGAAAATCTAATTTACACCCAGAGGAGAACACATTTATTTTCCTCATTTGCAAGTCGCTTTGGATAAAAAATGTCTGCTAAATTAAAATTATGGTAATTAATTTAGACAGAATGGAACCCAAATCTGATTAGAATTATACGATCACTCACTTGTGTTACTTGGGTTATAATAACTTATTAAACTAAGCACCCTTCACTTTAATCAGCTAATTGAAATGAAACGTTAATGCATATGTTAAGACATCTTAGAATCTCCAAGACACACTATGGTTTGACGTCACGACACACTCAGCTGTCCTGCAGCTGTTCTTCATACTGCTTGACATCTGTTCCAGTAAAAACAAGAACAAACGACTGAATGAGAGAGTCAACAAATAAAGACACATTAAAGTGTTCCCTTATCTCAAGTCAAACATCTTTATATTTGCATTTATAATAGTTTTTTTTCTTACATATCATCTCCATTGATTGTCTTAAAGCCTTTGAGATTACATTACTACTCATAAATACCCACTTCACTCTATTGTTTAATTTAGTCATCACTTAATGTAAAATAATCTGAGCCTAAACTGTTAACTTGTGTAACCCAAGTTTTCCCGTGTGGAATCCAATACTCTGGGAACACCGGTCAACTTAACTACAAGATTTCCATTGAAACGGTTGCTTTCATTGTTCAAATGTGATTTATATGGAGATCAAATATAAGTACAAGGAGCAACATGTTTTATGAAGAACATGAGACACAAACAATAA